CCTGCCAGCTGCTGTTACTTAGGTGCTCAGACCCCCTGGGTAGCCCATGCGCACACTGCTCCTGCCAGCTGCTGTTTGTGACCTGCTCTGAGATGTGCGGAGGAAGGCCCTGCAGAGGGGCACTGGATTATCTGGGACTCTCAGCAGCAAAGTCATTACACTTTCTGCCACCAGAGGTCAGTGTTACACCCCTATGCATCCGAAGAAGTGGGCTGTAGCCCACGAAAGCTTATGCTCAAATAAATGTGTTAGTCTCTAAGGTGCCACAAGTCCTCCTGTTCTTGTTACACCCCGGTGACGTGTGCAGGCAGCCAGGCTGGAGACTACATCAGAGCAGGCGTGTTGTCTGGGCTAGGATCCATCACCTTCGCTGTGGGGAGGCTGCAGGATGAGGGTGTTATCCTTCTGGATGAAGTGGAGTTCTTGAGCCACATGGCAGGCAGTGAGCGGATTGTCCCCTGTGATCATCACTACCTGGGAAAGGGAAACAGGTGGGGTCACACGAGGTTACCGAGGAGGTCACGCTACATGCACGTGGCCCTAGTTACACAGAACAGAGAGAAGTTCCTGTACGCTGACCAGGTCCCATCTGAGACACTAATGATCTCAGATGCTTTGTACAGCACCTTGTCCAGAAATCCAACCACCAGGGGCAAGGCAGAGCCCCGACCCAGCGTCATATTTAAATCAAGACTGGATGTTTTGCTAAGACAACTGCTCTGGGAATTACATGGGGGCAGGTCTCTGGCCTGTGCTCTGCAGGGGGTCAGACTAGATGATCACAGTGGTCCCGTCTGGCTTTGGACTCCACGAATGACACACAGCTCAGGGCAGCGGCTGCCCCGCCCACGCCCCGCAATCCTGGAAGAGGCTGGTACCAGCCCAGTAGCTCAGGTGTCTGCACGGCCCCGGGAGCTCGTTCTCTCCTGCAGACACTCACATGGTGCGATGCATTCTGGATCTCCCGGATGACGGGCTTGGAATCAGCTTTGAGAGGACAGGAGACCACGATAAAGCCGACAAATCTCAGGTCACATTCCAGAGCCTCGCGCTTGAACTCTCTCACCTTCCACGGAAAAGAACCACACCAGAGTGTTACACGCCGTCTCACGAGCAATGAGACCCCCATCCACTGGAGACCGTCCTGACTGGGTACGCCAGGGGCAGCCTGAGGGGCATGGAATGATTCTGGATTCTCCCTCCGCTGCCCTAGAGACAGCATCCCCTTTGGTAATATAGTCACCCCCCCACTTTCTGAGCCTCCCCACGCTCCTCTCACAGGCATATGATCTCTGTTTTACAAGTGGGGACAGGCAGGCAGAGCAAGTTGCCCAAGGTTACACAAGAAGTCAGTGCCAGAACTGAAAATAGAAACCAGGAGACCCGAGCCACAGTCCCTTGGCTCTAACAATCAAATAAATAAATAAAATAAAATAAAAAATCAACAGGATTCAGGTATAAAAAAACCCAAAGCAGTTACAGGTTCACCTGTGGCTTATGACAATCATCTCCCCATGAGGTGTCTGTGCCACCCCCTCTCATGTGGGCGCCTTCCTTTGGGTGGGTGCTCGGACTTTAGGGGCCTAGGCACGGAGCCGGGGGGGCTGGAACAATTTTTATAGTGGGGGTTCTGATGATGAAAACCACATATTTGGGTTATTACTAATACTTCAAGCCAGGGAGTGCGGCAGCACCTGTATTTCCAGCACCACTGCATGGAGCCGAGCGTACCTGCTGATGAGTGAGGTGCCCCAGCTCTTTGTAGCCAAGCGCGAGCACCCTCGCCCCCTCGCGCGAGATTTCTGTGTGCATGGTGCGGTAGCTGCTCGGGCACTGAGAGAACTGCAGAAAAAGGGGGTGGGGGGAAACCAATGTGTTAAACACTATACGCAGGTTACAATGCTTCATATCAAATATACTGTGAAGCAGAGGCGCTTCCGTGCCTGAGCAGGGGTGAGGCAAGCGGGGAGCTCAAAGCAGCAGCAAATATCCCTACCGAGGGCAGGAGAGTGACTTTATCGGATATTCACCCTTCTGCTGCCACTCGTATTTGCAGGCCTGAGAACAAGCACAGCGAGGCCAGGAACATCACACACTGAGCCACCCTTGATTTAACGGGGATAAATGTTGAGCCTCTGCAGTGGAGACTGTTTTTACATGGGAAGGGGGGTGTCTGGGCCCATTTTCAGGACATAATTCAGGTTCTGGATTTGAGGATGGAGTCACCCAAACCCAGACAAGCTGGTGGAGGCCCCACGAACCGATTCCCATTTTAGGACACATCTTGCTGGCTTAAAGCCCATTCCTTGCGTGTGATGTGCTCACCATTGCATGCAGGGTCTCTGGGGCCCCTTTCACAGCTGCAATGTAACAGAGATCAGTCGAGCCAATCTTCTCATATGAAGCCAAGACGGACATTCTTTTCAGGGCACTGGCAAAATGAAAGCGCTGGTGAATTTTCAGTCCCTGAGTTTTAATACTTCTGGGGAAAACTTTCTCATCTGGAAACAAACAGATCGGGAAATCCTGAAAGGTTTCTCAGCATTGCAAGCAGCATCACTTCCCTCGGCTCCCAGGAACGAATCATTCACTAAGAACAAACAAGTCTCCCCACCCAACCCTTGCAGCATGGTGATGATGGAAGTTCTGGCCCCAGTGACTGAGGGATGGAATTGCCTGGACGATCTCTGGGGATCAGAAGAGAGAGCTGCTTCTGAGCATGCCACATCTGCAGCACGAGGTACATTTCTAGATTTAGGCTACATCTACACTAGGAGCTGGGGTGTGATACCCAGCTTGCATACACATGCTAGCTCAGGTCTAGATAGCGTAGCTGCAATAGCACGGGCAGCGGCAGCACATCTTAGCCATGCCAAGTACAACCCACCTGATCCCCACGGGTACATACTCACTTGCTGCCCGTGCTTCTGCGGCTATCCTATTTCTTATTGAGTGTACTTTAACAGCTTGCGTACACATATCGTCCCTGCAGAGATCCTGTACAAGGTCTCCCGCAGCCCTTCCACGGCAGTGCCAGAGCACTCGCCAGGGTTTATGTAGGGCAAAGCTCACCCCACGCAGAGGACTACTACAAAGCCCACATAAGCCTACAAAGGGGGGTGAATTTCACCCACAGGAACGAAATTGGGAGGAGCAGCTTTATTATCACTAATATCTACACACACACGTGGTACCAGTTTGTGCAACTGGACACATGTAGGAATTGGCCATTGTCTCTACCTTTGGTCAGAGTCCAATCCACAGCCATCAGCATTGCTTTCTCTAACGGATCTCCCACCAACGTCCCGTCATCCAACTGGACCAACGAATGGCAAGTTGCGATCACTCGGTGGGTTTCTACAGGAATGTCAGACACTGGCGTCACTTCCTTCCCATCCCTACAGTGGGGAGAGACTACGTTAATAGGCTTGGACAGGCCGTCAAAGCCATACGTGTTCTACAATTTCTCCAAGCAAATAATTACTGTCCCAGTGTCCTGAACTGCTAGAGCTTCTCACGCCAACAGCAAAGCTGTGGGAAAGCTGGCCCAATGACTCAGCTTCTCAATGCTGCAACTACAGCCACTGCCCCTGAGCAATCCCAATGGAGCAGATTCCTCAAAGAAGAGGCCTTAATTGGAGCACCAAGAAGTGCTGTTCAAGGCAACTGAATGCACGTGTAACACACCAGCCTGTCTAGCTGGGTCTGCTCAGACAGACGTGTAACACACCAGCCTGTCTAGCTGGGTCTGCTCAGACAGATGTGTATCGTACTTAGATTACATTCATGTGCAGCCTCCAAAGGGTTGTTTCTAGTGCAAGAAGTCATTCTAAACTGCTCTCCCCACACAGCCCCCTGCGTGCTAGGGCAGAACACATACCAGTCAGTGGCCAGGCTACATTCTGAGATGGGGGAGAGTGAGGGATACACACATGCCAGGCTGGTTATGTCACCTGGGCAATGTCCCACCCTCACTGTAGCTCATTAACAGACTCGCAGGACACGAGAGGCTTTAAACCATTTCTCATAAGCCTGAGAACAAGTGGGCATGAAGTCACAAGTGTTTGTGGTTTACAACAGCTGCACCAGCTCAATATTCATTGTAACCCTTTGACTAGAGTGCGTGGGTATCACTCAGCCTCGCTCACCAGGGTCTTGTTCATTCTGTAAGTAACTGCTCTGACCCCTGAAATATTTTGGTTACAGTGATTTTCTATATTTATTTTCCACATGTTCCATAGCGTGAGGACTTCTGACTCCTCAGTGTACAAGTCACAACATTCCCATAATCCGAGGGGTACGATTTAAAATGAAATAAACCAGAGGGGTTTCTCTATGAGGGACTCTGCCATTGAGGTGCAGCTCACCAGGGCAGGGGCTGCAGGCTGGTGCAGAGAGGCACAGAGGGTTTTAGCAATTAAAAACGTATTTATGAAATCCCAAAAGAACCACCAAATTCAAGGGCTCTGACGCTGCAAATTGCTGCACAAGTGCCATAGCCAGAGAACCTGCAGGATCCCCCTTCCCCTAGCCTAGAACGCGCTTCTGGCTCATCTCCTTCACTCCCCCCAATTCATCCTCTCTTCCCCACTGGACTGGCACTTCGCCTCCAGCGGAGGGAAGCTCTCACTGGGGCCTCCATTGTTCAAATGTCACCCACATTTGATTACTTAGCTACACGGGATTTGGTACTTTGGATCACTGGCCCACCCAGTCGTGCATCCCGGCTCTGACAGGGCCCACTACCAGACGCTAAAAAGGCAGTGAACCCCCCATCACAACCTGAGTCGACTGTACAATATGGTTAACATTACCCCTGGGAACCCATCCCATGGCTTACCTGAGCCCAGCCACACCTCTTACCACCAGGTGGTCACTGGTGAGGGTGCCAGTTTTGTCAAAGCAGCAAACCTGAACTTTCCCAGCAAAGGGGATTCGGAAAGGTTCTGTACAGTACACGTCTGAAAGAGAGGAGATGGGACCCTGTCGTGTATCACAGAGACACAGCAGGGGCACATTGGGGTCTGCAGCCACCTAGAATCTTTTCCACAACATACAAGCCAAAAACCCTGGTGCTCAGCCACAATTTATTTAACAACCTCAAACCTTCTGCTCTGTAGCTTGTGAAGTTACAGTCAGATTTAACCCCAAAGGGGTGTGGAAGAGCAGTGATAGGTTTGGAGGCCGTTTACCCAGGTAGGTTCTTAGACGGGCACCATCACTACGGGTCGGAACACTTGTTGAAAAAGCAACCGAACCTGGATTTTTGAGTGGGAGCTTGTTTCCCCCACGCACTCTACTTAGGAGCTATTTCCAAGTTTCACAACAGTGTGAACCACCTCCACCCAACCCTGAGAGTCACCTCCCTGCTTTGAATGACACAGGAATCCTGCAGACACTCCCACAGCACACACGGCGAACCAGGGAGCCAACCCAGTTATGCTATTTGGAGAGAGGAGGTTGCCATGGTGTATAAAAGCCAGCAATTTCACACACTTTACGTGGCCATGTGCTGCAGTCCCGGGGATACTGGACACCAGAGTGCACAGTGTTTCTATTCCTGCTTTTGGGCTTAGTACTTACAGAGTTTGGCCAGGGCAATAAGGGAGGTGTTGACAGCCAGAGAAAGTTCAATGGGAAGTTCGGGTGGAACTACTGAAGTCAGTATTAAAGTGCATTCCAGAAAGAGTTTGTATCGATTCCTGCTGGGGTCCTTGGTGCCTACAAAATAAAACCAGAGACATGCTGCTTCTCCGCTCCAGACAAGGTGCCACAGGACAACAAATGGACGCGTCAGGGGCACAAACTACTGAGGAATGTGGGAGAAAAATGGAATGAGTCACGGCTCACGCCCACACACGGAAACAGCCCAGCTTCTTCAGCTACCATCTCCTCCCTTCCCCGCCAATACACCAATAGCTATTCCTACACTCCTGGCAAAAGCTAACTCCCAGGACGAGGTGCGAGGAGTGCTCACCTTCGATCCACACATACGCTGCAGCAGCAATGGCAAAGACCAGAAGGAACAGGATGAAAATAAAGGTCTCCAAGTTGTTGGCTGTCACTCTCTTCACCCCAAAGAGGATTGTTCGCAGCAGCTTCCCCTGAAAGGAGAACTGCCTTCAATGCACGAAGCTAGTTCTGCAGCATGCAGTACAGTTTCTTGTAAAATACATGACAAATGTATAAAATCAAGATAGCCTGCATTCTGATTCTCTGCTGCACGTGTTGCATTCGGTTCACTGGCCAGTGCAGCACCACCCACGGGCAGGATTTTAGCATGCTAATCAGTTGTAGGTCAGTTAAGTGTGTTTCTCACTGCTCTTTATTTAAGCGGCCTTGACTTTCCATCCATCAGATTTTAAAAGTGTATTACCTTGCACTTGTCTGGTGTTTACAAAACACACCTCAACACCCACGGGCAGTAACTGTTATTACACAGTAATTTGTTCAGAGTCCTAGTGACTCAGTGGCACTCAGGATTAGAGCCCCGGAATCCTGACTCGGAGCCCTGCGTTCTATCCTCTAGACCATTCCATCCGCCCACCCACAACAAAGGAATTCCAAGAACCAACCTCACTGTTCCAAACAGGTGAGTAACTGTGTCACCCTGATTTGAATTTCTCTCCAGCAATTGATCAGAACTACCTCCCTTCAACGGGTGTTCTCTCATGTACTTCTTACCTGAGAGGTGTTGAATCCAGTCCTCAGAACGTATGCCACACACCCGTTATCAACAGCTGGAACAGGAGCAGTAACAGCAGCATTAAGCTCAGTAGAGATCTTTTTTATACACACATTATAGCTAGAACAAAATTGGGGCTGCATGTCCCTCTCACCCTCCAGGAGAACACGGTGGCCTTCAGCAAAAGATTATTTCATTTTAACACTCAATTTAAGCTGCCATCTAAAAGGACGGGGCAGGGTGACAAACTCAGCACTATCGCCCAGAAGCTACATTGTTTAGAAGGAGTGGGCCAGGCCATGGCATTCCATCTGACCAAAGCCGCCTGCTTGGCAGTACATACGTTTCAGTCCTGTGCTGGCTTTCTGGGGTGGAATGTGCTGCACAACCTTTGTTCCCCCAAATATGATGTGCAGTCTGGCGTCTGTCTGCATGTCCAGTACATGCTCTGGATTGAGATCCTCAATGGGCTCCTGAATGAGAGAATTCGGGACTCAGAGAAGCAGGACTTGTTTCCAGTTAGCTGCCAACAACTGGACTCATAACGTTCCTCTACGGTCCCATCTCCATGAGGCACTCTCAGCTCCCCTGCGAGCAGTCTGCAGGAACTGACTCTGGACTTGAACAGGATACTGAGCTCCTGCCTTTGTCCTAGCTCAGATACCTGGTACCCATGAGAATCCTGGGGTCAGGGAATTTGCTCACACTTGGATCACCGGCCTCAACAGGGAGGCTATTCTAAATGTGATTTTATCATGTTTAAATCACGCACTGGCATAAAAACAAGGGAGATTCACTGGGTTTGAAGCTCTCTGTGCTTGTCCCTCCCCTGTCTGCCCAGTCAAAGCAGCCCAGACTGGGGAATGTGGGGGAGTGGTGGGCTGTGCCCACACACTGCAATCCAGCCCCAGAGGCCTCAGCCACAGCCAGACAAAACAGACAGTCTGTTTCTCATTTACTAGATCATCAGTCATGGATATGGGGGTGGATAACACTCAACAGACCCGGATTTTCTGGGCCAGAGTTTACACAAAGATTGATCTGCACCTATAAACCCTGCACTGTTTAGATGCTGCGGTGGCTGGAATGAAACTTGGTGCATAAACAATGAAGACGTAACAAGCATTACTGAGGACCTGTCTCTCACCTTCATCTGAGGCACAGACTCTCCAGTCAGCATGGCTTCATCCACAATGCACTTTCCACGGAGCAAGAGCACATCACATGGCACTAGGTTCTCATGAGGAGATCGGCCTGAAATCAAGAGAGCAAAGCTTAGAAGTGGCTCATTGTGAGAACTGGCCATTGTTAGCCCGTTTGTCTGGCAGGATGCAATTCCCCTTTGCTTTGGCTGAGATGCGGCGGATTTCTACTTGCAAGTTCCCAAATCTGTCCCATGACCCTCACCAAAACACAAGCTTCGATGTGAACCAGAAGTGTCATAAAACCCGAGAAAGCCCTGAAACTAGAGGGATTTAAAAGTAAAGGAGCACAGTTCTTACTGCCACTCAAGCTTTAGACTGGGGACAACACTTCTGGGCCAATGCAATCTAAAAAAGAGTCACAGTACAGGGATGGGGACAGCATCCTATTCCCCCTCGTCCTCCATCCCCATCTTCTGCTTTTGGATGGAACCTTCCACTCTTAGAACCTCTGATCTGAAGCAGGGCAGCTGTGGCTGATTTTAGTCCGAATATTTAGACTCTAATCTCTGAGAATAAAGTTAGAGATCTGTGGTATTGGGTACTTGAAGGACTCTCTCTCAGGCCTATGAGTTTTCAGCCATTCATGGGCATTTAAAGATTCTTTGTTGGAATTTGTATGGACATTTTGACTGGGTTGAATTGTAAATTTAATTAATCTCAGTCAATACATGTAGAAGTGATTTGATTTCATAAGGGCTTTTGATTGTGTCAAGCATGCAGGCTGTTACCAATGGAAACAATATCCCCTGGGATGATCTCATCACTGGAAATGGGACGCCACTTCCGGTTTCTGTAAACCTGTAGAACAAAAGCAATGTGAGAAAGAGCATTTAGATACTATGAGGACGGGTACTAGAGAAACGTGTGACAGGGGAGAGAGAGTGATAGATGACAAGACAACAAAAGCACAGCTCTGCACATAAACAGTGAATCTGCATAAACCGTCTCCTCAGCCCAGCTATCAACAAACGATCCCTGAGTTTACAGTTTGGAATTCCCCATTACTACCCCTTGGAAGCGCAGAGTTGAAGTCTCTTTCCCTTCCTTGGGCACAGAGTGTTTTGTTGCTGTAGGTGCTCATTCTATGTGTGTTTCTGTCTGTATATTTATATATAAAATATCATTTTATATGTGTAACACACAAGAATCCCATGCATTTTCCAAACAGATACAAGAAAAAGAAAGTACCGAAGGAGGAGGGGACTAAATTTTGGGGCCTCAAGCTGAGCTTGGCTCTTTTGGAATTGTTCCCAATCAATCGTCTTTCCCCCAGCTGAGCACCCACACACGCAGGACATAATCCTGCTGTTTTATAATAAATCTGAACTTTAAAAAAGGTTAAAACTATTCAAAGGAAAAGGCCAAAGACTCAGAATAACTAGGCAAGAGTTAAACAAGTGCATGCAAAGGCAACAGATGTCAAAAGGCAAATTGGACATAAGAAAACAGGAAACACAGGAAAGTCTTGTTGCTCCCTCAGCAAGGTGTGTCTATTTAGAGGGTAAACTCTGCTCTTTCTTACAGGCCATGTCTAAAGGGCCTTGCATGCTCTTGGGCTCTATATTACATTCCCCAGTTTCTCAGTGCTGAGTTTCTGATCATCATCCCTCTGCACTCACTTACCTGAATCATGTATGGCTTGTTACCCATTTTTCGAATCTCTGACATATTTCTCATTTGCTGTTGGACCAGAGAAGCTTCAAATGCCACCAACATGGAGAGAGTGAAGACACTGTAGTACCAGTATTCATCCAGGCACCAGAGACCCACACAGAACACCTGGAGGAAACAGATGTGGAAGCCATTCCAGCACTCACCCCATAAAGAAGCTAACATGTCCCTGAGAACTCAAGTCCATCAGTAGATCAGCACATCCTGTACTGTTCACGTGCTTGGACACTAGAATGTCACTGTAACAGTCCAGCAGGAGAAAACAGATAATATTAAGTCTTTTTTTTAGAGCCAGTGAAGAGTGTTGGCTTGCTGGGGATTGAACTCCTTTGTTCTCGAGAGAATAGATACAGTCTGTGCAGTGACAAGGCAAACACCTCCTCTACTTCTGCCCTGACTCAGAAGGCCAGAAGGGCATTCTCTAGCCTTGGTCTTTGGCCTTTCTGCTGAGGCTACCAAAGGGGACAGTTCATGCCAGCTATGATGGGCTCTGGACCACACATTGGACGGTAACAACTTTCAGTTATGACTGACCAAAAATATGTCAGCCCTTATCCCCAGAATAATAAAGTCTCCCCCACAGTAGACACTGCAGTGTATAAACGGTGCATTTTTGGCTTTTGGAAACAGCCAGCCGATTTCAGATTCCCAAACTAAGACTGCAGATTGGAAGGAATTCACTTCTTTGCAGTTACAAACAACAGTTACAGCTCTTGTTTACCTGAAAGACGAAGAAAGGGGCCGTGGCTCTCTCTTTAAAGAGTTCCAAGAACTCTGGCACCACCATTTCTGCCCTGGGAAAGAATAAAATTTTGTTAATCTTGGTGTTCAGGCCTCACAGCACCATCCCAACCTAAAATCTATTGCAGCCTCTGGAGTATGAACGGGGGGCTTTGTTCCCCTTTGTACCAGAACATCTTCCCCTTCTCTTCATTACTCTTAGATGTAAGGAATTTGACTCTGTAACCAGGGCTCTTTCAGGGATAAACCCCAGACTTTATGCTGCTGTAGGAAGTAGCTATCTCCTTCCTCTGGGGGATTTAGCTCCCAAAAACCTGATAATCTAGAGCAAGGACATTCAAAACCCAGTGCCTGGAACCCCCAGTCCCTGAAATCCTTGTTACTATCCCCGAACACTCACTTGTTTGTGCCGTATTTCTTCTCAGCCACTCGGATCTCTCTGTCCTCCTGGTAGCCTCGGGCACTCTGGTAATAGGAGAGGGGGTGCTCCACAGGGAAAGCCACAGGGAGAAACTGTTTCCTGTCATCGACCTCGTAAGAGTACTTAATTTTCTGAAACTCAAAGGAAAGGGCTTCTTGCCCATCTTCCCCCTGCAGGGATTATGCAGAAGGGAAGAGCATTTAGACTTTCACATCAAAGGGCCCTTACAGTAGGGCCACATCACTTCACATATACTATAGGGAACTGCACTGGCTGGGAAGGTTGGATTAGATGGGACCAACTGGTCATTTACAACTTTTGTTCCTAAACAACATTGTCTGTGAGACTACAGGTGTTAGTTACAAATGTTGCACTTTCTAAAACCTCTTAGTCCCTGTCTGTGATGGATATCAGCTGGCTTCCAGCCAAGCGCTAAGGTTTTAATTTACATTAGTGGCTTTGGAAAGGCAGGTTGGAGATGAGTACGTTTGCTAAGAAACAGCAGTTCCCAGGCAGCCGTCAGCTATTAGAAAGGGCTGGAGTCTAAGTCTGTACCTGGTCTCGATGGAGTGGCACAAGCTCTGCAGATCCATTATTTGGGGTTGGCACAACTTTAGCTAATGTGGCTTTCCTAGGACTGGGTTCCTGAAAAACACAAAGCAAACATGCACTCTGTAAAGCAGGTCACAAGGTAAGTGGAAGCCAGGAGGGATCCATATACAGTCATTATGAGCCACTGTGAGCAACACTCAAACACAGAGAACATTCCTCTATTTTTACTGGCTTATCTGGACTTTTCATTGATATTTTAAAACCACCCAGGAAAGACCAACACTTGCGATGAAAATTACCCTGTATGCTGACTCCCAAGGAAAGACTGAGTTCCTAGAGGGGAGGGGGGAGAGTGAGGCAGAGGAATCAGATGAACTTAGCCCAGCCAACATGCTGCAGAGGATAGAAAAGTGAATGGGAATAACTGCACAGTTTGAGATTCTGAATGCAAAAACAATTAGCCACAAACTCTTCCCAGCCTAGCAATTGTTGACGGTCAGGTCACATCTTGCTGGAATGAAAGTTTCCCATAAATTTGATAAAGTCTCAGATTTGATCAACAAACTCAATGTCCCATTAACTTTGACATGATCAACACAGTTGCTCCTCAAACAGGGGCCTCCACTTCTGAGTGCTCTAACGATGCCCAGTAAAAAACACAAGTATTGTCAGAGCAATCTCAACCCTTCCCTGCACGCCTGGAGTTGCTGTCATCTGTCTACGGAAGGTCAGGATGCACCTGGACCACTCTGTTGATGTGCCCCCCCCCCACACACACATGCACATCCTTAGGCGGCTAGGGAGCTGGGCACCTCACAGGAGAGAGAAGACTTGGCTTTGCAGAGAGATGTTATTACATAGTTCTCTGTAACTGGGATGGATACATCTACATCCTTGCAATATCAGAAAACCTTTGGTGCTGCTTTAAACAAAAATCTAGAGCCTGTTCCCAGAAACCTACCACTGCCATTCTAACAAAAATCACAAGCCATGTTCAAACAATGTCAAATGGTCTCCCTTCTACTCACGGCTACTGAGCTAGATTAGTGCAAACGTCATAGGATTCACTCAACAGCTTGGGGACTCTAGCATGGAGGAACAATAGGGAGCGGAGGAGCGTTATAATGAGCTCTGCAGATGCTCGGTGAGGGACAGAGAGGGGAGACTGTTAAATTCAGACCATTCATCATACCAGACTATTTTGTTAACAGTTTCCCGGTTTTGTCACCAATTTTTGAGTTTTGTTTTCAGACATAAAGGAGAGAAAAGGCTGACTACAGGTTGTGGTGGTGGGGAAGATGTAATCCAATGGTATCTTCAGTTCCTTATGGGCAACAGACAGTATTAGGAGAGAGACTTTCTGACAGTGAGATGTATTAGGCTGCAGAATCTCCTAAGCGGAGTGATGGAAGCCCTGTTGGGCAAACTAGGCAAAGGACCAGAGAACAACCCTGCCCTGGCCCCCAGGATCAGGAAAGTGGAATAGATGCAAAGCAACAGAGCTTTTCCATCTGCCATTATAATGAAGTCTGTAATGGTCTCAACTGACATTTAGCAATATTGGGAGGGCATGTGAATAGACAACACCTTTTACTATATACTCATGAAAAAAGGAGGATCCATTGCTTAGAAGAAAGGCTTACAAGTGCAATAAAAGCATCTAATAATAAAAGGTAACTGACTAACAAAAAAAGCTCGGAGATGCTACTTTCCACATTACAGCAAGTTTCAGATTTTAGTTATGAACAAATCGGAAATAATAACACTGTCCCCTGACATAAGGAAAATCTCATAAAACTCTGCCATGTCACATCTCAAACTCATGCTGACCAAAGGTTACCAGATTAATACCCTGAATGGAGGACTGTGACAGCCCACTCACATTACTCTGGAGACTAGTTAATGAAGCTGTACCAGATGTTTTTTGCCGAGACGATTTGCAGTTAGACATGCAACTACTCCTAAGAGGAAGCTACACAGACAGTTACAGGAACTGCCATGAAGTGAGGCAAACCAGCCAGAGAAAGCTAAGCTGGACCCAGAGCAGTTCAGTCGTTATAAAGCAACTTTTTTGTGCTAAAAAAGTTATCACACCTGCAAGCAGGGCCAGCTCAGCCACACACACTTCTCCCCGACACGTCCCAAGTGAAAGCAGACCAGTTTCAATGGAGAGAGATTTCTGTACAAGAAAATGTTTCATAACCCCCACCCATAATCACCCTCCCATTCTGTTTCACTTTCTGTCTAAAAGTGCACAGTGTTGCTATACAGCTATTAAACCACTGCCATGTCACAGCAAAGGAGTTATCCCTGTATACTCAGCTGCCACCTCCCACCTCAGAAGTGGCTGCATTTCCACAGTATGGGAAGCAATCCTGCTGGACAGTTTCTGATATCCATGGTGGCTCTTCAGAAGTGATATCACTCATTACTGTTACTTTACACCTCTACAGCCTCTTCCATCCAGAAATGCTTCACACACAGCACCAGGATATTACAGCGCCCTGGAGGTTGGAAGTGGCAGACAGCTCATGGCCAGCAGGGGAAGAATCCAAGCTCAAGACATTAGAGCAGCCTCCCACTATTACGTAGAGGCCCAGTGAGCATTCCAATGTCCACATGGGACAGGGGCAGGGTCTCACTCAGAGCCCTCCAGACAATGGGCAGATCCGTCCCAGAGTAAGAAAACTAAAGGCAAGCGAGGAGGGAGGTAACCCCATGTCAGAACATAAGACCAGTCATACTGGGTCAGGCCAATGATCCATCTAGCTCAGTATCCTCTTTTCCCACAAAGGCCTATACCAGACACTTCAGAGGAAATGAACAGAACAGGGCAGTTATCAAGTGATCCATCCGCTGTCATCTAATCCCATCTTCTGGCCGTCAGAGGTTTAGGGACACGGAGAGCACGGGAGTGATCATCTTGGCTAACAGCGATTGATGGACCAACCCTTTCATTCACTTATCTAAGTCTTTCTTGAACTCAGTTATACCTTTGGCCTTCACGGCATCCCCTGGGTTACAGGTTCTCAACTTTTTCTTTCTGAGGCCCCTGCAACATGCTATAAAAACTCCACAGCCCATCAGTGCCCCAACAACTGTTTTTCCTCTTTTAAAACAGGGGACGGGTCACTGGATGATTCCCTGGTCTGTTCATTCCCCCTGGGGCCCCGGGCACTGGCCACTGTCGGGTGGCGGGAGGCTGGGCTGGATGGACCCTTGCTCTGACCCAGTCTGGCCGTTCTTACAAGCCAGGGCCTGCACTGGAGGGTCGCAAGCAGGCCGCTGCCCGGGGCCCCACAAAGCTGAGTGGCTCGGGCTCAGGGCCCGGCTTCAGCCCTGCACAGCGGCGCTTGGGCTTCCCGCCCCGGGCCCCCGCTAGTCCAACACCGGCCCTGCTCGCGGCCCCCCGGGGCCCCCCGGCGGCCCTGGGCCCTGTCCCCGTAGAGCCCGGCCGGGGGCTCTGCCCGCACCAATGGAGACCTCCCACGTGGCGACCTTTGACCCCCAACAGCCGCCCGCTCGCGCCCCCGTGACTCACTCTGACGCAGGTGAGCGCGCAGTGCGCGTGGACGGACCACAGTCCCGAGAGCGCGGTGAGCAGCTGCGCGACCCCGATGGCGGCGAGCGCCAGCAGCGCGGCCTCGGGGGCGCCGCGGCCCGAGCCGGCCTCCCCCTCCCCCTCCCCCTCCCCCCAGGCGGCCCAGACCCGGGGCCCCCACAGCCACAGCCAGGCCGGGTACAGCCCGGCCACGAACGGCAGGACGGTGCCGTGGAGGAGCCGGGGCCGCCGCCGGTACAGGGTGACCGCAGAGACCAGCTCGTCCGCGGGGCCCGGAGCCGGAGCGGCCACCGCCATCTTCCGGGAGCCCTCCTAGCAACGCGCCGCTTCCGCTTCCGGGGGCCACGGCGCCCTGGCGTCCAAACCGCGCGTGCGCAGCAACCTCGCGGCCGGGGGCGCGCATGCGCGGCGACCGGCCCGAGCCCGACTGCCTCTAGTGTCATGGCCGCGGCCGGGGTTTCGCGCATGCGGACTGGGACGGGCCGCGAGCCCGGCGTGTTCCGGGTGTGCTCTGCGCGGCAGCATGTGAGTGCGGGGCGGGGCGGGGCGGGGCCGGGCCGGGGGAGGGGGCGCGGTCCGGTCCGGTCCGGTCCGGTCTGACTGTCCGGTCCGGTCTCTCCCCAGGCAGGCCGCCCTGGAGGTGACGGCGCGGCACTGCCGCAGCGAGCTGGAGCAGTACGGGCGCTGCGTGGCCGCCAGCCCCGCCACCTGGCAGCAGGACTGTCACCAGCTCAAACTCCGCATGGCCCGCTGCGCCTCCTCGCAGTGAGTGAGGGGCCCCCCGGGGCCCCCACCCCCG